AGTGTGTTCCATTTTAACATCTAACAGAGGACATGAAACATGTGAAGCAGTCTTTAAATGTTTCAAGAAAATGGAATTCAAAAAAGGTGTTGATATGAAATTAACAATTATTAAAAAACTTCAACTTATTCCACGTTTGACATGTGCTCACCTATCCAATGGAGATTGACATTCGTTGGACCAGATACAAAGATTGAAAATGCTCCCATCTCATCTGGCAAATATGTAGTCACAACCAGTACGTATGTCATATTGGCCTGAAGATGGATTGTAAGACTAAATTGTTTATTATCGCATGCATCATCATTCCTTGAGAGTAAATTGGTAGATGGATCGAAGGGATCGAATGTGTTGTTGTATATATAGCCATACATGTTAACACTGCTACTACTTCCAAGACTATAATAGCCACTGGTGACTATGTTAATTTGTATGGCTTCATAGAAGTACTGTGATGGCTGACACTTGTCACGGAAATATGTTCCGCTACTTGTAGTCAACGATGATACATACGTCGACTGTACAACCGATGTAGTGTCTGTTTAACAAGGAGAAAAATAAAGTGGTCTCTTTCGAGTTCATATGTGTTAACTAACTGGATAAACTCAATTTTTGCGCTCAAAGTACTTTTATTAACGAAATGAAGCAAAGCAATAATATCTATTCCGCCTGGGACATGACCGGCGCGCTCATTAGATTCTTCAATTTCATTCATTTAAGATATGTTATACAGACAAAAGTTTCATTAATTTTAACGTAAATTGATTAAAAAATTGCTGAATTTTATATTTAACATTCAATTCGTACGGAGAGTCTCAATAAATATGGTGATCGTTGCACGTACACTCAAAACTTTATATTTCGAGAAAGTATGCATCAGTTTAACTGAACCTTTTATCTTGATCTCTCTGGACAGATACTCTACTTGTTAAAAAGTTTACTTAAATGACACATGTGTTAGTTTTCTAGGATTATCATTTATCAGTCGTCAAATGTCCATTGTTACCAACTTTGAAAATGTGTATCTTCCAGACTGAAAAATAGCTAGAGGGTGAAATTCTTTTACAGTTTGATCGTGACATGATCTCTCGTAGTAATTATATCAGATTGTTTTAAGTTCAGTTTGTAGCCAGGGCATTCTCGCCAAAATCGCGTTTTGAGTTAGAGTTGTATTGGAGCTAATGGCCTATACAGAGACCAGATTGGTTGGCCTACCAAGTATTAACTGTGTGCTGTACAGTAAAGTAAAATCAGTGAAGTATACTCAAGACGAGCAAAGGATCCTCATCAGACCAGAAGCTTCGAATGCGATGCGATATGGATTTATAGGAGACTCAGACGAAGTCAGCATTGAATGAGTATCATATCACATTGGCACTTTTTTATGAAAAAACGCAGTAGTCAAACTCTTTCTCCTTTTTAAAGCCTTTCGATTGATATACGATAACCATTTAGAAATATTCATTTAGAAATTTAATTTTGTCAAGATATTTCTAAAAGTATTTGTTATATTTTGTCAAGAAATCTCAGAAAATATTGATTTTATGACAAAACTCGATTTTTTTTCCGAAATGAAAAAACTGACAGTTGGGAAAATACTTGTTTTATATACCATCAATGAAGCATTCCCAAACGCACGATCCAAATATTCTTTATATTCATTTTTATTTTTTTCGAATTTTTACTTCAAAGGATACAATATCAGCGCAATTTTTCCTTAAACGTAAACAGGAAAAAATTTAGATTAAAGTGATCCTTTGATCAAACTTTAAGCCTACAACTGCAAAACTAGCGCTTCATCAGTATGAGCTGACGTGAATAATTATACTCGAAGAAGAGTTAGAGTCGTTGTGAGTTGTTTTCGATGATAAGAATATATGATTGTTTTAATATACAATCGTTCCAAATTTCTAAATGAATTCATACATTCTGAGAAGACTGCCTCTGAAAATATTGTACCATATAAATCGGAAAAATTTTCAGCCTCTATGTGGATTTAATGTGAAAATTTAACTTCAAAACTTTTCTGTAATGTGTTTCTTCGTTGATTGTTTACTAAGCAATAGCTATACTCACTAATATGTTGAAGAGTGACATTCGTTGGACCTGATACAATGATCGAGAATGCTCCCGTCACATTGGGAGAATACGTTGTCACAACCAGAACATATTTAGTATTGGCTGGAAGATCGATAGTGAGGTTAAACTGTTTATTGACGTTTGAGTCATCAGGGTGCAAAAATAAATTCATAGACGGATAGAATGGATTGAAAGTATTCTTGTAGATATAGCCGTATATATCGATGCTGCTATTGCTCGCAAGACGATAACAGCCGGCCTTGTCTATATTCACTTGTATGACTTCATAGAAGTAGCTTGCTAACCGACAATTATCACGAGAATACATATGACTATCTGTAGTCAGAGCTGATGAGTAAGTCGATTGAATAGCCGATGGAGTATCTTTTTAATGAAAAACAAAAACAATCAAAATGCGTAATCTGAGTAGGTAGGTAGAAATCAATTTCGATGCTTTTTCCTTGAGACAGCATTCACTCTATTTCAGCATGTTGAATATTTCAAAAATCAAACTAAGGGCCAAAATTAATTTACGAAATTCTGTTCAATATACAGAACTCGAATAATGAGTTCGCGGAATACTCTGCATCCAAAATTATACACTCTCACATCAGACTCCATGAATTTGCCGAATTTTTTGAACAGCTTAGAAGTGTATTGAATAAATTTCATACTGTACTGATTCTGACATAGATTTGGAGAATTCTATTCGTTGCGAAAAATTCGATATTCTACTGGATGAGCACTACTATACAATTTGCAAGAGAAAAATGAAAATTCATGAAGAAAATAATTATTTCTAGAGGAAAAATACTTATATTTAGCAGAAAGATGCTTTACTCTTGCATCTTTATATAAATTTTCTCAGTGGACAAATGAATATATCTATAGAAATTATGGTTTGTAAAAATGGAATTATGTTCATATGTATTGGAAAAAATGATTCTATTTTTTAGTTACATAAATATATTCTCAGCGAAAAGATGAAAATCCATCATTTTTCCGATACATATAATCATAAATCCATTTTTACAAGCCATAATTCCTATAGGTATCTTCATTTTTCCCATGGATTTCCATTTTTCGGTTAGCACAGTCTTTTGTAGTTAGGGGCGACGACTATTTTTGACCTGGACGCTATTTTTCCGCTGAAAATCAGCATTTTTGTGGCCAATCGAAAAATTGTTCACTGCCTGATCCTGATGAGCTAATAGAAATATTGGAAATATAAAAGATACTAGAGATATTGAAGATATAGGAGAAAGCAAAAGTTACTCTATATTTCATTTTGATTCAGTTTTAAGAATGTGAAACTTTTTTTTTAGGCTATGAAAATGATGAAAAAAAGATATCTATACTGACTTTTGCCTGGAAAATGGGAAAATAACACTTTTAAATTTATAAAAAATGAATGCACTTGAACAACTGCTTTACCTTTCAAACTTCATTGATTTTCTGTGTAAGTTTAAAAAAAGAATAACTGTCTTCAAACTCTTTTAGAAAAAAATCACTTCGAAAAACCAAAACAGATGTTTCTGATACAAGCTTTACTAAATTTTACCATGTAATGGGGAATATGATTTCCTTCAAAAAAAAAATTATTTCTAACAAAATAAAAATACAGATGCTTTAGTAGTGTTAACAATATAGTGTCATAGCGGTGTTAGTAATACAACGATATTAGACAATTTTTCTTGATTTTTATCAAGACAGAGTTATATTTTGGTAATGAATATTACACCACAAACATCGCTATACCTCTAATACCGTTCGAGATCTTATATCTCTAGTGATGCTAATATTTCTCATATCTTCGTCGATTTTTTCGAAAAAAATTCCTTTTCGTTTGAATTTGTTACAGAAGCAAATTCCCATTAACTCAATTTTACATAAATAAATTCGGTTTTTACCGCTTAAATTTCGATATTCTAAGATCATAGAATACTATATAAACCATCAGTACATTAACTCAGATCTTTATACGAACATATATACCATTACATACGCAACATTATCCAGTACTTAGTTATATCAAAATTGCTCAACACAAACTGATCGATTGCTGTCACATTGAACAAATGTCAATAAAATAGGAACATTGTTTTTGTAAACCATGTACAACCCATTTCTTAATTAAATTTATTGATGTATGAATTTTCTTTCTCTATGAATCTATCTATCTCGAGATAGTTTATGATATATCTAGAGAATGTAAGTATCAATAGAACTGAAAGAAGAGTAAGAAACTCGTACAATTTCCTGTTGAGAAGTATGTATAGGAATATTTGTAACTGAGGATTTTCTCCATATTGTTATCGTTGACTATTCATTGTAGATGGTGCCAGTGTGATGTCTTCGACCGCATAACATAGCATGCCAATAAGGACGAAAATCTTTGCATTACAAAGAAGATTGTTCTGTGAAAAATGAAAGGCTTCTCATCTACCGACAATATTGACAATGAGCGCAAGAAAGATTACAAAATCGAGATTCTGCAATATCTAATGTTTAAAGAACTACTCATTGAGTATTCAACAACTTGTAGAACTCAACACTTTCAAAGATG